ATTTTAATCCCTCCCATACAAGGCCTTATTATATTATGCTTAAACTCCATTATCTCTCTATAACAATAAAATTCACTAACAATGCAATTAGTGATCAAGCAATTGAAAATAACAATAAAGACGATAATAAACATCTACAAACCAAATCAAATTAAAGTCAAAATAATTAATTTAAAACTAAAAATATCATAACATGGGTTCATACCATCCTAGCAATGTATGAAACTAGCATAACATGTTGAAATTATAAGAAATCATATTTAAGTGAAAAGATATAACCCGAATTTTTGATAAATTGAGAAGATGAAGATGAATCTTGAAATCTTGAATCTCTTCAATGGTTTCTTGATAAATCTCCACTTGTGCCTTCTCTTATTTGCCCAAAAATTAGGTTTGAATTTTCACTTGAACGAATTCTTGCAAATCTCCTTCAATTTTCTCATAAAAACTATGAATTCTCCTCATTTGATGATAATAATTGATGAATAATGGAGTACAATATATACATGAGAATTCCCCAATATGTATTCTGCTATTATGTATTTGTAGGAGTTGAAAATTGGTTGAAAATCACATCCAAATTGACTTCCAAAAGAGTTCCAATCGAATAAGGAAAGTTGTCTTAGCACGTTGATTTTTTGTCCCCGTACAGTAGTTAGTATTTTTGTCATAACTTTCTTTTCCTATATCCGATTAAAGCGATTCAAAAATTCGTTGGATGGATACTCAAAGGTTTACAACTTTGATAGAAATAGAGTTTTCCCAATTCGGACGTTTACTATGCCAAAAATGGGTCTCAATCCTAAACTAAAAATCTGGAATATAACTTGTGCGATTGAAAATTCATTTTAATCATATTCCATTCCCTTTTGAATTTTAATTCAATCCAATTGTCTCCTAACAATCTTCAAAGTATCATCTTGTGGTCAAAATCAACTATTGAATTTACAATTTGATCCTCAAACTTTAGATTTTTCCATTTTTCACCATTTTTCGCTTCTTTCTTTCGATTTCTTGTTCAATCATTGAGTTTTACCTATATAACATAAAATACAATAATTTAAGATATATTTTGTCAAAAGAACTATCAAATATCACTATTTTAGACCCCAAACAAGTGTATAAAACACATTTATCATAAATCATAATATGTTCTTCTACATTAGTTTTACCACCTACCAATGCTCAAGGAAAGAAGCCCAAGAAATTCACAGGAGTAAATTACAAGAAGTGGTAAGAAAGGATCTTATTTTATTTCACTTCTCTAAATTTCGCAAAATTCAACGTTGATGAAGAGGAAAACGAATCCTACAAACCAAGCAACATTTGATGCATAAAGTCATAGTGCTAAATATATCCTCAACGATCTTGACAACATATTATACAGTGTATACATCTCTCTCAAGACAACCAAATCATTTTGAGAATCCTTCGAAATGGAAGATGCTTACTTGAAGAAATTCCTTCTTGGCAAATTCCTAGATTCCGAAATAATAAATTCCAAAGCAGCAATGAATCAACTCCATGATCTATATAAAAAAAAAAAAGATAAAAATAAAAAAATAATGTTCCAAATCTAATATAATGATAAGACTAATACTGGAAAAACAATTATTCCTAGAGAGGAGATTTCTGTAATTCTTCAAAAACATAAAAAGTTTTTCTATATATATTTTTTTGTTAATATAGGAACCCGCAGCCGCTACTCACCACGGAGCCCCGACCACCTCGAAGGGGCAAATACCGGACCACTGTGAGTGCGCACTACTCTGTTCCATGTCTAGTAACTTGCAAACCACACATGAGAGGTAAATCGTACTAGGCAAGCCCGGTGCGACGGGCTGACAGATGAAGTGTTGGCAGGAGATTCGAACTTGTGATATTTGGCCTCCGCGTTCACCTGCTCCACCAACTCGGCCACCTCTAAAGGAAAAAGTTTTGCTATATTGCCAATTAGTCTGGTGACTGATATTATTTCAAATTAAAGAAAGGTCTACATCTAGATGAAAGCCAATGTGAGCAAGAGTAAAGAATAAAAAGGCCAATATTAGGTCAATCCACTAATCAATAGTCATCCAATGTAATGCCAAAATCATAGTCACCAATGGATTGGGTTGGAATAGGATTCAAGTATTGCAAACTGTTTCAGCCCAATCTCCCACTAAACCATGAATTCTAAGTTGATTTGTTATTACAAAAAGGTTTCATTTGTATGTTTCAAATCCAGCTTTATATTACCTTTGGATAAATAAGAATATATTTTTAATTAATGACTAAAAAGTGGTGACCTTTTTCTCAGAGGTTGTTTGAGCTCCATTTTTTTTTTTAAAAAAATGCATTTTACAATAGTATTATGATAGAGAGCGTGTGGTTAAAAAATAAGAAAAATTTTAAATTTACGTGTAATATTATTTTATTGAATAATGTGTAGTTGAAATGAGATCAAATCACTATTCAAAAATACATTTTGATGGAAAATGGGACTTGGGCTAAGTGTCCCTCGTTTGTGTGACTAGAGTTTTTTTTCCCTAAAAAATTTTCAGTTAAAATAAAAATTCGAAATTTTAAAATACAAAGCAAATAATGCTCAAACTAACTACATTAATATTATTATTAAAAGCAAGTGCTCGAAACAAACAATGTCCAAAATAATTTTTTTTTCTTTTATTCTTCACGGGTTGGGTTCGGAACGGGTTTTTTTGTCATCACTGTGCGTGACACCAATTTTCTCTCTCCATGACGCACAAAAGGCAATCACTTTTAAGTATTCCATGACGATATAATTCTGACAAACAATTCCCCGACATACTTTAGAACTGCGATGATCTTCAAGTGTAAATACTAACTATATGCTTATGAAATTTACAATTCATCATAGCTTCCTAGAACATCGTCAAATTGATAAGATTCAAAGAGCAAACTAGAAGAAGAAAACCCTCCAAACTGCTCATCCATTTGAGAGCTGAACACATTATCTATAGGGTCTAAGAATGAATCTGAACTTGTAGTTGTAGGAGATTCTCTACAAGTATGCATGGAAGAATTAGATTTAGGTAGTGCTCTGTCATCATCACAAACAATCTCAAGAAAATCTGCATCAGCACCATTGGCTTCCATGTATCGCGATACGTCGGAGTCTCTCCCGGTGAGTTCTTGGACGAGGGAACGAAATCTCGACGCGCTAGTCTTCACCTTCATGGGGCTAGATATGTACACAACTTTAAGCGAATCGCTTTTGTTGTTCCTCTTAGTCTTCTTTTTGCCCTGTATCACTTTCGGAGTGCTGCGAATATCCATCTCTACTTCACGCCTCGGAAAAAAGAATTCCACGCTCTTTCTTTCTTTGCGGGAAACCCACAAGATGATGCAAGATTTATATAGATGAGGATGTAGATATTCTTATGGTACAAGGGTGTTTCTTGGAAAGAGATAAGATTGAATGATTTGGTTGGAAAAAATGAGGGTTTGATAGAGAAATATGAAGGTTAGAGGAAATGGAGAGTAAAGGAAGATTCCATACAGGTGCTTGAATAACCCGCAAGCTCACAGTTTTTGTATGAAACCTTAGGGTAAGAAATTGATAATCCACACGTGCGCAGACATAAACGACTATAGTTTTCTACAAAAAAAAGGTTGTGTGCGCAAATATCATTGGTGGTTAGGAATAGAATAGAGTGTATAGGTTAGAGTAGAGGCGGTTAAGGATCAAATGGATATATATTAAATTCGACACCTACGGCTAATATTTTTTCATTTTTTTTGGAGGATTTTTGTCTTTAGTACACTTTCTATACATGTTTAGTTCATTGAATTAAGTTATAATCATTTGGTCCCTCGAACTTGTTTGGTTCATTGAATTTAGTTATAGGATAAACGCTTTCAGTCTCTCGCACTTCACATCTCAGCACAAGCTATGCCAATACTAATTTTTTTTTTTTTTTTTTCGAACGTGATAAGCATAGCTACATTTATAAAGCATATGTCAACATCAAAATCGATGTCCATGTTAAAATGAATATCGTCTGTGAAGACATCAACTACTACGAGCATCTTCGACGGAGGTTTAAATTGGTATCTCCAAAATCACTTTTGCATCCCTTTGATCTAAATCCAAATTCCGCTCCAATGAAAAGACCTAAATCTGATTTTTGCCTCTTGTTGCAAAAAAAATGTAATTTGCATTTTTTTTTTTTTTACATTTTCTATCGAAAAATGCTATTTGCATCCCTTTATTCGAGAGGTTTTCGATCATTTTGAAGATCTAAATATCTATCTTACACCACCATTGAAGATGCTCTACTTAATAAAAAAAATGGGGATATGAGTGTAAAAGGAGGCAAATGTTGAGAACATTGACTGCAATTTACCCTAATAAGAAATAAATTTTGATGTTTATGTCCCACAAAATTTGATTGGTGGAACAGTAAGTAGATGAAGATATGAAAACAACATGCATAAAAAAAGTCCTTGGTGAATATAGATTTAATAATATTTAATTAAAGAAAATGTCTTTATAATAACATTCCACCTAATGCCCAACTTGAATGAATTAAAGTAAACAAGCAATGCCTTGAACACTCAATCGATTTGGAGTCAATTTTTTCTAGAATTTCATTACTTTGGATATTTATCATGTCAATGACTTTCATTACGTACTAATGCGACAATAGATAGTGATTATGTTACTTATTATATAAATATTACGACTGTTAAATAATTTTTTTTAGTCTGCAATGACAATTATTATAGTATCGGTAGTCGACATCAATGTTCATATTGCTAGTCCCGGCAATAGTTATTATACACGGATTTAATAATTCGATCAATACCTGTAGAACTAAAGTATAATCGATAATAATCTCATTTTTTATTTAACCCCTGTTTGGTGGGATTAAAATCGGATTTTCAATAGAATTTGATAAAAATTTGATGAAACGTGTGGTTGAAAAATTATGGATCTTATGAAATATGTAGTTAAAATTAATTATTGGCTTTGACTTAAATTAAAATTTGATTTTTAATTTCTATCAAACATGGACTTAATATTATTCAACATCGAATAACTATTCGGTCCTACCGAAAATAATGGTGTCGATGAGACACTCTTTCTACCTAGTCTATGTCACAAAATCTAAAATTTTAAACTTACACATCTAAAATTGTAATTATAAGTGAATAATAACTTTTTCTTAAGCAAGATCCCTCATATTACTCTTAAATTTTAACTTTTGACTCCTTTTGCGCATGTGATTTGAGAGACGACCAATAAATTTTGGTCAACAGAGTTGATTTTCTAACCTTTTCAAGGTGAAAATGTACATATATTTGACCACCACTTTTTCTTCTGTCAATTATGCCTGCTGTTCTAAAATTATAAGTCGATCAAAATTTACTTTTAATTATACATTTTAATAAATTTATAATTTTTATTCACTCTTTAACTACACATTTCATTTAACCGACAATTTATAATGTCAGAAATGTTGCACCGAACAATGATGAAGTTAGCGAAACCAATAGATATAAAAATTTATCCTGAACTCGCGGAAAAAATATAATTTTACTTTAGGGAGGATGTAATTATCGTCGCCACATTTTTTTTTTTTCAATTAAAACACTTTTATCTGCCGTTTTGAAATTTTGATTAAGCGTACGTTTTATCCACACATCAATGAGATCCATAATTTATTACTCACTTATTTATCTACATATTCCGTATGAGCTACAATTTATAAGAACTTAAAAAGCACTATTAGAAAATCACTTAGATTTCGAGTTTTCCCAAATTAATACAAGCTATTATGTAATTTGTCAACGTCTCTTTACTACAAAAATCAACGTACAAATACCATTTTGAAAAGCAGATCGAACCAGACAGTCCAATCGAAAAACTCATGAATCGGCTTATATTTCGGTCCAATCATATTTTATTTATTGGAAATAGAAAATTAAACTAGTGAAATAACCACCAAATTGACCAATTTAGCCATGTTTGGTCCACATTATTTACTTCATTTTTATTCTTTTACTCATTTTCAACCACACATTTTTCAATAAAATAATATTTTTCATCACATCAATAACTTTTCCTTCTTTTTCAACTACATATTCCCCATCACACAACAA